TACGCGTGATCTGCTGGGTTGACGTCACTCACCCGTTGGCTGCCGCAGCTACATACAGATGCACACACAGGGAGAGATGCACACACACAGCTCTGTCAGCTACAAACGTTTGCACCTCCATCAGCAGTACCTGTGAATGTGTGTGCCTATGATGCGTGGTCGTACGTGCGAGCCGTTGTACGCTATACTGCTGTGCATGTAGTCACACAGCAGTCTACTGCTGTTTGTTGGCCATGGTTTGGCTAGTCCACCGCACGTGTAGTCGTATGCTAGGTCAAACTACCGCCCCCTCGAGCCAGCGCGTGGTTTGCTGGGTTCACCACACGGGTGGTATGCTTGGTCCACCGCACGCGTTGTCTGCTGGGTCACCATACGAGTGCCGGGGGGGGGTAACCCCCCCCTCGGACCCCCCCCCTCGAGCCAGCGCGTGGTCTGCTAAGTCGTAATATATGTACTGTATTTTCAAAAAAATCCGTCGGGCCAACTTTCGGTTGCCATAAGAGTCAGCCTCACTCACGATCCACTACCCGCTTTCCACCTCGTAAGTATGCGTGCTTTTAAGTCTGTGGACAGGTTGTGAGCTTCGCGAGGTTGCCGTATCGCTTGACCTTGTACTTGTTGACTTGACAAAACTTGTTGCATCCACGGTCTCATCATGTCCGGCAGGCGGAGGTGGGGGCGGGGGCGGGGGTGGGGGTGGTGGTCGGGGAGGTGGCAAGAGGCGACGTAGGGGTGGCCGGGGTCGGGGGCGCGGTGACGGCGGCGGTGGCGGCAGCGGTTGGCCAGGAAACGGCGCGCCGGGAAACAGCAACAACAACAACAAAAGCAACTTCAACCCCGCGGCGGCCGGGCTCCCGCTCGGACCTGGTGCTGGTGCTGGTGCTGTCGCCGCTTCGAACGGGGCCATGCCGCCCATGCCCCCTGCACAGGCCGGCAGCGGCGGCGGTGGCGGCAGCGGTGGCCGTGGCGGGGGGGCAAAGGTCAACAACCCCAACTCTAGGACGTCCACGACGACCATGAGTCAGATGACGGAGAGCAAGTTCGCCCAGCTGCCGCTCTCCGCGCCGACGCAGCGGGCCATCGCCGAGGTGCTGGGCTACGTGACGCTGACCAAGGTCCAGAACGACTCCATCCCTCCGGCTCTTGCGGGTGTGTATTGTGTATTTGTCGGCTTGTGCGTTTTTTTTTTCGTCATTTCCTTTTTTCCATCGGTCGGAACGGTCAATTCTCTCCTCGTCACGCCAGAGATGCATGCTCGCGTGGTTCCAAAGTATCTCGGTACGCTGTTCTGTCTGCACGCACGTGTTGCGCAAGAAAGGTACAGACGCACATGATGAACAGGACATTGAAAGGGCGATTTCACTGTTTACACTCGAGGATGCATGAAGCACAGAAAAACAACACGACAGGCCGGGGCCAGCTCCTCCGCCAGTGGTTCCGTCTTGCTGTGAACCACCCCCTCTATTCTTTGTTTCTTTTGCCTATGTGCCCTGTGGGTAACCGTGTGGCTGCATCTTGCCCTGCCTCGCACTTCTCCGTTTCTCTCTTCTCCATCTCTTCTTGCCTCTCTCTATTTCTCTCTCTCCCTTTCTAAATCTCTGAACTCTCTCTGCCTCTTTGTGCCTGTCTGTATCTGCCTCATTCTCCTTGTCTCTCTCCCTCGCCCTCAACAATCTCTCTACCCCTCCTTCCCTCCTTCCCTCCCTCCTTTCTTCTCTCTTACTCTTTCTTTCTATGCCCCGCTGCCGCTTCAGGACACGATGTGCTCGCCAAGGCCAAGACCGGAACTGGCAAGACCCTGTCCTTCCTGCTCCCCGCCATCGAAGGGGTCGCGCGCACCCCTCGCGCTCAGCGTAAGGGCATCTCGGTGCTGATCATCAGCCCCACCCGCGAGCTCGCCCAGCAGATCGCCGACGAGGCTAACCAAGTGCTGGTGAGAACGAAAATTGGGGGCAATTTTTCTTTTTGCGGCGGGAGGAGAGGGGCGTGTGGAGGGCGTGGGCGCACTTATCGTTCGCATGTCTTAGTGGTTAGGCCATTGACCACGCGTCCTCGAGAGGACGGAGCATTGTTTCCACAGCGGGGGAGGGGTGAGCTGAGCGCGTCCTCCTCGTGCATGCCTGCAGTCTTGACACCATTGACAGGGGGGGGCGAGATGCCTCGTCACTGCTGTGCTCGCCTCGGTAGTTCGTACTTTTGGCAGACTACTGTATCGCGGCTGTAAGGGATGCGTGCGGACTACGCCCCTTTTTTCGCTTATCAGAGGACGTGGAGGACAGAGAGTGTCCGGAGGAAACGCACGACAGACAGACAAACGAACACAGTAACGGCCAGAGAAAACGGGGCCCCGCGATGTGCAAACGCACCCGCCGTATGTCGTATTTTCACGCGCGGCGGTGACCGCTTTGGCTGCGTTCCGGGAGTGCACCGTGCTGCTTGGATTATTGCGTTCAAGTTTGTGGGCGTGTCGTTCATTTTTTGTGTGTTGTGTGCGAAGATTTTTGCTCACGGGCCTCGTGTTTCAAGCCGGCTCCCGAACCTCGTGCTGGCCTTCTTTGTATAAGCGTCCAGGCCTGTACCGGATAAACGGTGTCTCTTGTGGGCCACATGAAACATGTATCGAAACACGTTATTTGCTTTTTGTCTTCAGGGCAAATGTCCTCGCTCGAACATGAGCCGGTTGATGTGCACACAAGTATCTCTGCCCCCCCCCTCCACACACACGAACACTCCCGACGACTGTCCCAGTCATGGATTCCGCCTGAAACGCTCAAAACGTAATCAGCAATCGTTCCTGTTTGTGCTTTATTTTCTCGGTCGTCCGAGATTTCACGCACATACCCAGACCCCCCCCACCGCACCCCGCCTCCGCCTTCGCCTTCTTCAATGGGAAAACCTGTAGACCTTCCACGACATGTCTCTCATCTGCGTGGTGGGCGGAACCAACATCAAGGCCGACATCCGGGGCTTCCGCGACAGGCCCGACATCGTGGTGGCAACCCCCGGGCGCCTGAACGACCACCTCGACAACAACGGGCTCGCCAAGGACATGGCCGGCCTCTCCCACCTCATCTTTGACGAGGCTGACCAGGTGAGAAATAAGAGATCGATTCGGGGGTGGCGTTTGTGAGTAAGCTTGGCGGGGCGGGGGGGGGGGGGG